TACAAATATATGAAAACAGAAACGCGGAACTTATTTGTAGGTTACAGCGGGGTTACAGGTAGGTTATAGGGAAGTTACAGGGAGTATAACACGGATATAACCCCTCAAAACCCTCTGAATAACCTCATCGTACACAAATTTTTCTCAAACTCATTAAGACTGCAAATTTTACCATTTTCAATTAGAATGCTGCTCAAAAACAAATATTTGCGGTCAGCTTAATAAGAAAATTCTCAATTTTTTTTTTATTTGTTATTGTTGGTTGTTGAGGGTAGGTTGAGGAGTAAAATATACTCTTCACAAAGCATTTCTAACAACTCATTAGCTTGGTTCCCATTCTCTTGATTTTGATATGATATGTGGTGGGTAAACATTAAGAAATTATGAAAATAAATTATTTGTTAGAAAATCAACAATATCTAATTCATTCGTCAAGAGCAAAACAAAAATGCCCTCGATTATTTTTATTTAGGCTTAAATTTAACATTGAAGATTTACAATATTTTTTTATTAGGATTTTAATATTAAAAGGGATAAATAGATATTGATTAAGATTTACCTAACAAGATACCTATAAATTTTAAGCAGGTTTCGTTCCAAGAAATAGATAGTGTTAGCAAATTTGAATCATCAATAATGTTCGAGCAAGTCGGACTATATTTGAGTCAGACTTCTCATTTGATGTAAGGAGAGAGGTCAAGTAATCATTTTCACTTAGACTTTAATATATGTATGCATTCGATTATGTTTTCTAGCCCATTTTTTACTTAAATTTTATTAATATTCTATGTAGAGGGATGAGGATGGTATGGGCATTCTCGTCTTTTTGTTTAGTTGGGCTTTTTCCGATGCACCTTTGAGCAGGAAATAGAAGGGTAAGAAATGGCATCTCATTAAACTATTTTTTCCTTGGTACGCACGGGCTGTTATGGGATGGGCTTTAACGCTCCCATGTGGGCCCTTTTCCTGAAATTTCAAGCATCTTCAACTAAAAAACTTTGTTAATGTTATGCATGGAGCACTTCAACTATTAGTGTAAATGAGCTGAGCCGGATCTAGATCGGCTCGTTAACAAGCTCACGAGCCAAGCTTATCTTGCCATGCACTCGAGCTTGACCTCATACTGGATTTCATTAGCTCATCTTGGCTCAGCTAGTTGGCTCGCGAGGTGGTTGATTAGTCTGTCGTTAGTCATTTCGATGCATTTTCAAGTGAGTTGCCACTGCAGCATCTTCCTCTTCTGGCCACCAATATCTTTTTTGGTGAGCTCCCGCGAATTTAAAAAGCCATGCTATTTATTTATTTATTGCTCGTTATTTTTTCTTTCAAATTTAAGAATCCTCAATTTCTCATTACTCATGTCTGTCATAACTCCACTGTTGACCTCACTTTTGGTTGAGGTCTAGCTTCAAGCCACTGCCTCTACGGCACGCCCACCTTTCAAGTCACTGCCGCTACGACACACATATTTGTTCGAGTCGTTGTCTCTACGACATACCCATCTTTTCCTGAGTCACTGCCCCATGATACACTCATCACTTCTGTCACATAACTGTTCGCACTTGCATTTGTATGTTTGCATGGATAGCGAGGGATTGCAAGCTAGGCTCGTTATGAGAGTGACCCCGTGTTGGTCACGATGCCTTAATGAGCATTGCTAGCTGGGTTGATCCCGGTGAGCAATGCGAGTTAAGTCATTGAGATTGACACCGTCGGGATTGACACGAATATGACTGTGCTAAGGATCTAATTGATCTAACTTGTGTCGCCCCTCTTCGTGACACCCTTTAGATCTTTCAGATCTTTAAGATGAGACCGGTATGACGACCCTGTCAAAGTCATATTTTACCCAGACTTATCCCGCACTTAGATACTAGGTTGACACACTTTTCATTAGATGGTGTGCTAGACTAGGATTTCGGGTGCTAGGTAGTTTTTTTTATGTCTTGATATTGTTCTCTGTTGCATTAGTTGTCCTAGCGAGATATCTTTCTTTTGCATTGTGCTCTTAATGTGACAGCATGTTGCATATGTATGGTAGTGTGTTAGAGCGACTTTCTGCAGGGAGTCATGCATATTTATATGCACACACACATGTATCACTATGGGGGGAGAAAGTAATGATTTCTGACCCTTTTTGCTTGCAGAAGCTATTAGCTCCCCACTTTTAAGGCATGACTCATGATGCATTATTTGCATGCGAGCTTTCCCGCCGACACTTATTTTCATGCAAAATTGAGTCTTTTTCTTTTTCCTATGTACTTTTAGAGTCTATGAGAGTCTTGTAGTAGAAATAAGATATGGGCACAAGTTCCGAGGCATTTGGCGTGAAAACCATGTGGAGGGGACCAAAAACCGATGCTCGTGCCCCGTATCTTAATTTTACATTTTAAGATACGGACATGTATATGCGAAGTCCGGTCGTCTTTTTCTTTTCTGGGATATGTTGCCGATCTAGCGGCACCGGCCAGTTTTATTATTTTGATTTGACTTGCTTTATTTTTTGCATCATGTTGTATGTCTGCACTTGCATGTGTTTTTCTTTGTTTTTTTTCTGTGGTTTATTTGGAATTTCACGCTGAAACATTTGCTCATAATGACTTAAAATCCTAATTTTTCTACTTAAAAATCCTCAAAAAAGCATTCAAGATAATTAAAATTTAGGATTTAAAATTTGCAACATTTACTTTCCTGCATAAATTAATAGGGCCTCCACAATACTTAAGGAACGCTCTAGATAACTGCATTCAAATTTGCACGTCCTGAGGAGGAGCCCCCGTGCTTCTCCAACCTGGCTGACCCAACATACATTTTCTAGGTGGTTGTCTAGTGCGTTTAGGGTGTTAGAAGGCTCCCTAATCCAGACGGGGTGTAAGTCCTTTTGTTTGGAGCTTTTCCAGCTTTGTAGTTGAACCTTCAATTTCTTTTCTTTCCTGAGACATCCTTGCCACTTCAACAAGTATAAGTCCCACCTCTTGGAGCTCCAGCTTTTAATCATAAGATAGGAATTCCTCCTTTGACCTTAAGGCTACCAATGTTCCCATGGACGACGCAATTCACAGATTGCTAACCGGGGATCTCAGAACGTGTTGGGTTGACTACATTTTAGAATCACTCTACCTTCCTCTTGCTAACCGGGGATCCCATGGACGTGTTGGATTGCTAACCGGGGATCTCAGGACGCAATTCACGGATTGCTAACCAGAGGCTGTTCACCGTAGGGTCATAGTAGTTGTGTATGACGGGTTCGTGGTATCCCGACCCAATTACCTCTACCTTTTAGGATCACTCTACCTTCCTCTTGTTGAGCCCCTTTGAGCCCTGTCGCTCCTTGACTTCGTTGATATCACATTGACGACACTATGCCGATGAGCTGCTGCCCATTTAAGATACAACGATTTGTCCTCTGTCCTTTGGCTCGGACATGCTTTGAAGTGTTGGGATATTCCCATCAAGATGATTTAGGTTATTCCGTGGGTCCCATGTGTCGATGAGCCGCTACCCATTTAGCATTTATGATGTGAGAGACTCACTCTTTGCCCGATGGCTTAGCGCGAGCTTTGAAGCATCGGGATTGTTCCCACACGAAATAACATTCCTTTGAGTACCTATTGCCTCATGTTCATGATAATTCAAGCAAAACTCTTTTTATCGACAGTATTCTTAGGTACCCCCTAAGATGTAATTAACCAAGTGAGATACGTCCTCTTGGGAGTGCTCTTGGCCCCAGAACAGACACCTACACCTGAATATTTGGTTATGGGTAATCTACGTAGATATTCTTTCGCAGATATCAGTTTAAGGTGCTTTCACTTGATTTTGTTTGGGCGGACACTCTTAACCTATCCTTGCAAGGTTTACCGCACGTAGGCTCTCCACATTTTATGTTTTTTCTTGTTTGTCGCTTTGTCGTATGTCCCTTCTTATTTGGTTTCTCTCCTCTTTGAATCACTGATCTGATTCGGGAGGGAGATTTATTTGAATAAAGGAAGTATACGACGATCGACTGACGACTCCTTCTAAATAAAAGAGAGAAAAACGAACAAAAACAAAGGGTAAAGAATATAATTGTTCATATTTGTCACAATCTCTCTCGCTACTTGTTTTACTTTTACACATGTCACTAATTTTATTCTAAGAGGAAGATTACTTTTAATATATTAAACCCCACTTTCTGATTTTCACTAAGTATTTTAGTTTTGGATTAGAAGTAGTATTGTAGTGATAATTGTAGGATATAATCATAACCAAACCTTTATCGACCTTCCAAGCTAGGGCGTGTTATTCTAAACTAGAACTTCTCCTGAAAGCCGCCGTGATTAACCTCGATCTCCGTGCTATCAATATTTGAGGCTTAATCAGAAAGCCCTATATTACTTGATAATGATACATGTATTTGTGTAGAATCTCTACAAATATAATTGAAATCTTACTTTGCTTGGGATCAAGTTTTTTATGTCATTTTTGAGGATTAAAATCTTCAAGTAGTGGTGTCAACTTCATAAATCCTTACATATAAGTAACCATCGGGATCAAGTACATCACATCTCTTGCTAGTACCACTTGAGGATAATTCTGTATAATTTAAATCTTTATTTTTCATTTCATATGAATTTAAAATCATTTAAAATATACATTTATCAGTCTGTTATTTTCCTCTCATCCTTTATACCATTTCACACATTCAAAATGAAATTCATGAATGTAGTATTGTTTTAAATCCTTTATTGTAATTATTAATTTAATTAAATAATAATTTAATGGATAAAAGTACCTTAATCTTAAATGACTGCGCTAAATACTTAATTTCTTACTTCATTTCTTGACTATTGTCTATTAATTAAATGTGTATATATGTAAGAATTCTATTCTAAAAGAAAGGCTTAAATATATCTAATGATATATAATAAAAATAACACAAATATATAATTATACCATTCACTACCTTAAATTAGATTTAGTTTACTTTCTTGCATGAGTCAACTCTTTCCTCTTACAACTCTAATTAATTTACCTTTAATCTTCTACCTTTATATCCTATTAAATTAACCATGTTATTACCATTTAACAAGTAAATTGATATTTTACATTCAAGCAATTAATATCATAAAACCTTAAATGCTCATATGTTAATTTACTTATTTAAAACTAATAAATTTTACCATTTTATAGGTTCAGCCATCTAACCTAACCTTATGCACGGAAGGTTCACAGTTCTCCTCTCTTTTCTCCGAAGAAATATTACATCAGTACTACGCACGTTATTTTTAAGTGCGTAGCCAATCAAAACACGCCACGACATCTCGCGCGGCGGAGTAAGAAAAACGGCGCAGTAACACGGAGAATATTCCCTCATGTGTTATTCATGTGTTATTGCACGTTATTCATGTGTTATTGCATGTTATTCATGTGTTATTGATGTGTTATTGTGTTATTATAACACCAAGAATATTCTCAGGATACAATAACACATGAATAACACACAATAACACTTGAATAACACGAGAAATATTCCCGACAGA